TGCTGTTGGAAGTTCATGGGTTTGGTTTTGTGGATCGTTGCTTTTGGATATCTTGGATATAGTTCCCTTGATATCTTCAATTGTTATGGGAAGCGTACTTGTAGGTACTGTCTTTGTTGACGGTGAAGTGAGGTATGTTAGCATATGTGAAGTAAGCATAGTAGAATGTTTACCAGAGAATGGTGTGTTCAGTTGTGTGTTAGATTCATGTATCTGAGACTGAGAAGAACCCGGATGTGTACTGGTTGGTTCACTATTCGTTGGTTTGTATGTTGGTTTTGTTGGAATATCAGTGGTCATAGTTGAATGTTTACCAGACGAGCCTGTGTCTAATGTCACATACATTGGATTTGTCAGAATATTAGAAGAAGCTGTATTTGAATGTGAACTATCAGTTCCTGTTTTTGTTTGCGCATTAGCCGGATGAGAAGGACTTGCGATAGTATGTGGACCCAATGTTTCAGTTTTTGTTGATGCGTGTATATTATGTGTTGGAATATTAGAGAATGAACCTGAGTTTGAAGGTGTTCCATCAGTCCCAGTGTTTGTTTGTGAGTATGTAGGATGTGTTTGGATATTAGAAGACCCGGTGTTTGTATGTGTACTAGCAGTTGCAGGGTCTGTTGGTGGGTTTGTAGGATGTGTTTGAATTTTCAAGGAATCTGTGTTTAGACGTGTACCAGTAGTTCCAATGTTTGTTGACAGTAGTGTAGGATGTGTTGGAACATAGGCCGAATCTGTGTGTGAACGCGAGCTTACAGTGCCAATGTTTGCAGGCGGATTTGTAGGATTTGCTGGAACATAGGAAGAATCTGTGTTTGAATATGTGTCATCAGTTCCAATTGTTGTTGGCAGATACGTGGGGAGTGTTGGAATAGTAGACGAACCTGTGTTTGAATATGTGTCATCAGTTCCAATAGTTGTTGGCAGATACGTAGGGAGTGTTGGAATAGTAGACGAACCTGTGTTTGAATATGTGCCATCAGTTCCAATTGTTGTTGGCAGATACTTAGGGAGTGTTGGACTATTAGACGAACCTGTGTTTGAATATGTGTCATCAGTTCCAATTGTTTTGAGTGGATACGTAGGGAGTGTTGGAATAGTAGACGAAGCTGTGTTTGAATATGTGTCATCAGTTCCAATTGCTGTTGGCAGATACTTAGGGAGTGTTGGACTATTAGACGAACCTGTGTTTGAATATGTGTCATCAGTTCCAATTGCTGTTGGCAGATACTTAGGGAGTGTTGGACTATTAGACGAACCTGTGTTTGAATATGTGTCATCAGTTCCAATTGTTTTAGGCGGGTACATTGGGGGTGTTAGAATATTAGACGAACCTGTGCTTGAATATGTACTGGCACTGTTAGTCTGGCTTGACAGGTTTGTAGGATGTGTTGGAATGTTATAAGAACCTGTGTTCGTAGATGCACTGGAACTTCCCGTTGTTAATTTTGGATGTGTAGGATGCGTTGGAATAGAACCCGAGTTACTTGGAATCGGATCTATTATATGCAAGGTTTTAGTGTTGTATTGAACTAAATTGAATGATGATGTGAACGCACTTATATTTGAAGTGGATGCTTCATTCTGAATTGAGTCGGTATGGAGATTTGTAGGGATGGAGGGCGGTGCGTCTAATTGCATATTCCCTATAGCCTTAGCTGAAGAATTAGTTCTCAAATATGCCTTGAGTTTTGCTTCACTGATTTCCTTGTTTATGCAGATTTGTGTAATGCATTTGGAAGCTTTAAGTGTCTTATTAGAACTTTTATTTGATTGTTGTGAGTGATTTTCCAAAAGGACGTGGTTTGAAGTACTTCTGGTAGTGTCTGACGGTTCTTGAAATATATTGGTATCGTGGGTACGTCCAGATTGTGATTGATTATGGAAAGTTTTGTGACTGGAACTATCTGGTGCTGTTGGAAAGTCATGGGTTTGGTTTTGTGGATCGTTGCTTCTGGATATCTTGGATTTAGTTCCCGTGATATCTTCAATTGTTTTGGGAAGTGTACTTATAGGTCCAGTCTTTCTTGACGGTGAAGTGAGGTATGTTAGCATATGTGAATTAAGTACAGTAGAATGTTTATCAGAGAACGGTGTGTTCAGTTGTGTGTTAGATTCATGTATCTGAGACTGAGAAGAACCCGGATGTGTACTGGTTGGTTCACTATTCGTTGGTTTGTGTGTTGGTTTTGTTGGAATATCAGTGGTCATAGTTGAATGTTTACCAGACGAGCCTGTGTCTAATGTCACATACATTGGATTTGTCGGAATATTAGAAGAAGCTGTATTTGAATGTGAACTATCAGTTCCTGTTTTTGTTTGCGCGTTAGCCGGATGAGAAGGACTTGCGACAGTATGTGGACCCACAGTTTCAGTTTTTGTTGATGCGTGTATATTATGTGTTGGAATATTAGAGAATGAACCTGAGTTTGAAGGTGTTCCATCAGTCCCAGTGTTTGTTGGTGAGTATGTAGGATGTGTTTGGATATTAGAAGACCCGGTGTTTGTATGTGTACTAGCAGTTTCAGGGTCTGTTGGTGGGTTTGTAGGATGTGTTTGAATTTTCAAGGAATCTGTGTTTGGACGTGTACCAGTAGTTCCAATGTTTGTTGGCGGATATGTAGGATGTGATGGAATATAGAAAGAATCTGTGTTTGAATGGGTACTAACAGTTGCAGGGTCAGTTGGCGGGTTTGTATATGTAGGATGTGTCGGAATTTTGGAAGTATCTGTGTTTGAGTGTTTGCCTGCAGATCCAGTGTTTGTTGACAGATACGCAGGATGTGATGAAATATAGGAAGAATCTTTGTTTGAATGTATACCAGCAGTGGCATTTGTACTTGGCGGGTTTGTAGAATGTGCTGCAATATTAGAATGCACGGTGCTTAAATGTGTACTTGCTGTTGAAGGGCCTGTTGGTTGGTACGTTGGATGTATTGGAATATTTGAAGGCCCTGGGTTTGAATATGTGCTATCAGTTCTAAATGTTTTTGGTGGATACGTTGGGAGTGTTGGACTATTTGACGAACCTGTGCTTGAATGTGTACTAGCACTGTTAGTCTGGCTTGACAGGTTTGTAGGATGTGTTGGAATGTTATAAGAACCTGTGTTCATAGATGCACTGGAACTTCCCGTTGTTAATTTCGGATGTGTAGGATGCGTTGGAATAGAACCAGATTTACTTGGTAACGGATCTATCATATGCAAGGGTTTAGTATTGTATTGAACTGAATTGAGTGATGATGTGAACGCACTTACAGTTGAATTGGAAACTTCATTCTTAATTGAGTCGGTATGGGGATTTGAAGGGAAGTATGGTGGTGCGTCTAATTGCATATTCCCTAAAGCCTTAGGTGAAGCATTGTTTGTCAAATATGCCTTGAGTTTTGCTTCACTGACTTCTTTGTCTATGCAGATTTGCGTCATGCATTTGGAAGCTTTAAGTGTCTGTTTTGATTGTTTGGAACGGTGTTCAAGAGGTGCTTGGTATGAAGTATTACCAGTAGTGTCTAAAGATGATTCAGATGTATTGGTATCGTTGGTATATCGTGGGTATTGTGCTTGAGTAGGGAGATTGAAATTACCTGGTGTTGTTGAAATGCCATTTGTTTTTCTGGGGGTAATGTTTGACCAAGAATACTCATGCACAGTTCTGTCTACTGATGTAGGGTTAATACCCGTAGGTACTTCAGGGATGAGGGTCTCCTTGCTACGGGAAGGTTTATGAGTTTCGTGGGCGCCAACACCACGTACTACACTTTGTGTGGAAGATGAGGGACGCATACCATCACCTTGGGTCAATGGAACAACTATAGGATGAAAATTAACGTTGTCTTGGATTGCCTTTTGGGATGATGAACTAACACTGTTTCTGGATGCTTTGTTCGAAATAAAATCAATGTTTGTATTTGTGCTGGAATATGGTTGAACTTCTAAATGTACATTCCCTATTGCCTTTGGCGAAGCATTCTTTGTCAAATATTCTTTGATCCTTTGGTCACTGACGTGTTTTTCTATGCAGATTTCAATAGCGCGTTTGGAAGGTGTTGGAATTTCAGTTGCTAATTTGGATTTGTTTTCCAAAATTATATGGTTTGCTGTAGTTCCAGCATTGTGACTGAATGTTGATTGTTTTGTATGAGATTGTATTTTATTGAGTGATAATGGGGGTGTAGTTTGTGTGTTTGTTTCAAGCGGGGCAGTGTCTATTCGAGGTTTAACAGTTTGGGAATGTAGAGGGTTTGAATTGTGCGAACTGACCTCATTGATGATTGCATTGCCATTCAATACTCCTGAAGGAGTGTTGGGATCTGTGTTGTATCGTGCAGTATGTGTGTTTGACTGAAAAGGTGTATTAACTACAGACATAATTGTGGAGGATTTACCTTCAGGAAAGCTGAGGAACTGTCGATCCCCCAATGCAAAAACAGGAACTGTCTCTGAGATAACACTTGGAACACTTGGCTTCTGTTGAGATCCAGCTCCGTACCCGATTGGTGCAAACACATTGAAACTTTTAAGCGGTGCAAATGTGTCGCTTTGATTGGGGGATGACTTCTGAGGTGATGTAGACTTACTTGTTCTGACAGCCAGCCTGGCTCTGACTGTTGCAGATGCATTTTTGTCTTTATCGGTACTATTTTCCATGCCTTTTGGAGGAGTGTCCATCATTTTCATGGCTGTGGCTGGTGCTATCTTAATATTCATTGGACGATTACCAACACGTATAGCAGCCGTCTGTTCACTAGAAATAAAACTTTGCTCATAATTAGAACCGGATGCAGTTTTAGTGATGGGTTTTACAGAAAGGTGAGGGTTAGAGGGAATGGAGTTTGCGTTTTTGTTAATTGAAAATCCACTACGGGTATTGTCAATAATTGCCATTTTGGAACCTTGCTCAATAGCATTAAATGTGTTAGTACTTTTCAGAGCGGGATTTCTCTGTGGTACGTGAATGGCATAATACGTGTTCGTTGATTGTGAATCCTGGCTTTTACCTTTCAATAACAAATTCATAAATTCTTTCTCGGGGCCTGTAGCTGTGCTACCTAGTTGGTTATGTGTTCCAGTAGCACCTTGTCCAGTCACCGCTGCTTGTTCCCACTGATTATTGATGGCATTCACATTAGAGTCCTGTGTAGAAAACCCAGATCCAGCACTGTGTATTATGTTTGAAGGTTCGACTGTTGTCATTGTTGCAGTATAAGGTCCTTGCTGACGAGACATCTCAACACGATTACTGGTTGAATCTACGTGTGCCTGCTGGCCACTTGTAGCTGACAGTCCTTGACTCCCTGACAAATCAGGGTTACTATACTGATTACCAGTTGATGGCATATCTAGTAATACAGACTGACCAATAGATGATACCATTCCTGGGTTTGATGACATGTCTAGAGCACCATGCTGTTTATGAATATTCGGTATGTCTGAAGGTCCATTCAAGTTACTGTGTCCTTGTCCTGTTAATCCAGACTGTACGTTGTTATAGAAGGCATCCTGCCTTTCACCAGCTTCACCATTCATTCCAAATACGAAGTTATTTACACCAGCAATAGTTGGCACAAGTTCTTGCCCTTTAACCAAATCCACGTGTTTCAAATGTTGAACATCTACTGCGCCTAATTGATCGGCAACACCTGAAGTCTTAGTACCTACTCCAAAATATTGATTCAGGTTTGTTTGGTCCTGAATATGTTGAGGTGTTCCCACTAAAAGGGAACTGGTTTCTGATCTATGTCCTAATGGCTGTTTAACTGTTCCTTCTGTGATCGTATGCATCTTATGTGCAGAATTCTGTTGTGTTGGCCCGTTTGTAGCTACTCCTTTGTCGAAGGATCGTCCGTGGTTTGTTGTGCTCTGTGTAAGGTCATGTAACGCCTGTGTTCTACCAGAAGCAGTGACATCTGTGGCCCCATATTGAGTATTTGATGATGTGACTCCTTGATTAAATGTCAGGTCCCGTGTTAATTGCTGTCCACCAGATGTTGGCATATCGATATGTCCGTACTGACCACTGGTTGATGTAACTCCTTGATCAAATATCATATCCTGTGTGAGTTGCTGTCCAAAAGATGTTAACAAATCTACAGTTCCGTACTGTCCACTTGTTGATGCAGCTTGATCTGATGCTACTGGCTGTCCACCAGATGTTAGCGTATCTAAATGTCCGTACTGTCCACTGGTTGATCCAGCTTGATTGGATGCTAGTTGTTGTCCACCAGATGTTGGCATGTCGATATATCCGTACTGCCCAGTGGTTGATGTGACTCCTTGATCAAATATCACATTCTGTGTGAGTTGCTGTCCACCAGATGTTGGCAAGTCTACAGTTCCGTACTGTCCATTTGTTGATGCAGCTTGATTGGATACTAGTTCCTGCCCACCAGATGTTGACGAATCTACAGTTCCGTACTGTCCACTGGTTGATCCAGCTTGATTGGATGCTAGTTGTTGTCCACCAGATGTTGGCATATCGAAATTTCCGTACTGCGCACTGGTTGATGCAGCTTGATTGGACGCTAGTTGTTGTCCACCAGATGTTGACGAATCTACGTTTCCGTACTGTCCACTTGTTGATACAGCTTGATTGGATGCTAGTTGTTGTCCACCAGATGTTTGCATATCGAAATTTCCGTACTGTCCAGTGGTTGATACAGCTTGATTTGATGCTACTTGCTGTCCACCAGATGTTAGCGTATCTAAATGTCCGTACTGTCCACTTGTTGATCCAGCTTGATTGGATGCTAGTTGTTGTCCACGAGATGTTGGCATATCGATATATCCGTACTGCCCAGTGGTTGATGTGATTCCTTGATCAAATATCACATTCTGTGTGAGTTGCTGTCCACTAGATGTTTGCAAGTCTACAGTTCCGTACTGTCCATTTGTTGATGCAGCTTGATTGGATGCTAGTTGTTGTCCACCAGATGTTAGCGTATCGAAATTTCCGAACTGCCCAGTGGTTGATACAGCTTGATTGGATGCTAGTTGTTGTCCACCAGATGTTGGCATATCGAAATTTCCGTACTGTCCACTGGTTGATACAGCTTGATTAGACGCTAGTTGTTGTCCACCAGATGTTGGCATATCGACATTTCCGTACTGTCCACTGGTTGATCCAGCTTGATTGGATGCTAGTTGTTGTCCACCGGATGTTGGCATATCGATATATCCGTACTGTCCACTGGTTGATGTGACTCCTTGATCAAATGTCACATCCTGTGTGAGTTGCTGTCCTCCAGATGTTTGCAAGTCTACAGATCCGTACTGTCCACTGGCTGATGCAGCTTGATTGGATGCTTGTTGTTGTCCACCAGATGTTGACATATCGAAATTTCCGTACTGCACAGTGGTTGATGCAGCTTGATTAGACCCTAGTTGTTGTCCACCAGAAGTTGGCATATCGAAATTTCCGTACTGTCCATTTGTTGATCCAGCTTGATTTGATGCTGCTGGCTGTCCACCAGATGTTAGCGTATCGAAATGTCCGTACTGCCCAGTGGTTGATGCAGCTTGATTGGATGCCTGTTCCTGCCCACCAAATGTTGACGAATCTACAGTTCCGTACTGTCCACTTGTTGATGCAGCTTGATTGGATGCTTGTTGTTGTCCACCAGATGTTGACATATCGAAATTTCCGTACTGCGCACTGGTTGATGCAGCTTGATTTGATGCTAGTTGTTGTCCATCAGATGTTGAAATATCGAAATTTCCGTACTGCGCACTGGTTGATACAGCTTGATTTGATGCTACTGGCTGTCCATCAGATGTTAGCGTATCGAAATGTCCGTACTGTCCAGTGGTTGATGCAGCTTGATTGGATGCTAGTTGTTGTCCACCAGAAGTTGGCATATCGACATTTCCGTACTGTCCAGTGGTTGATCCAGCTTGATTTGATGCTAGTTGTTGTCCACCGGATGTTGGCATATCGATATATCCGTACTGTCCACTGGTTGATGTGACTCCTTGATCAAATGTCACATCCTGTGTGAGTTGCTGTCCTCCAGATGTTTGCAAGTCTACAGATCCGTACTGTCCACTGGCTGATGCAGCTTGATTGGATGCTTGTTGTTGTCCACCAGATGTTGACATATCGAAATTTCCGTACTGCACAGTGGTTGATGCAGCTTGATTGGACCCTAGTTGTTGTCCACCAGAAGTTGGCACATCGAAATTTCCGTACTGTCCATTTGTTGATCCAGCTTGATTTGATGCTGCTGGCTGTCCACCAGATGTTAGCGTATCGAAATGTCCGTACTGTCCAGTGGTTGATGCAGCTTCATTGGATGCTAGTTGTTGTCCACCAGAAGTTGGCATATCGATATATCCGTACTGTCCACTGGTTGATGTGACTCCTTGATCAAATGTCACATCCTGTGTGAGTTGCTGTCCACCAGATGTTTGCACGTCTACAGTTCCATACTGTCCATTTGTTGATCCAGCTTGATTTGGTGCTAGTTGTTGTCCACCAGATGTTGACGAATCTACATTTCCGTACTGTCCAGTGGTTGATGCAGCTTGATTAGACGCTAGTTGTTGTCCACCAGATGTTGACGAATCTACATTTCCGAACTGTCCACTGGTTGATGCACCTTGATTAGACGCTAGTTGTTGTCCACCAGATGTTGGCATATCGAAATTTCCGTACTGCCCAGTGGTTGATGCAGCTTGATTAGACGCTAGTTGTTGTCCAACGGATGTTGGCATATCGACATATCCGTACTGTCCACTGGTTGATGTGACTCCTTGATCAAATGTCACATCCTGTGTGAGTTGCTGTCCACCAGATGTTGGCAAGTCTACAGATCCGTACTGTCTACTGGTTGATGCAGCTTGATTGGATGCTTGTTGTTGTCCACCAGATGTTGACATATCGAAATTTCCGTACTGCACAGTGGTTGATGCAGCTTGATTGGACGCTAGTTGTTGTCCACCAGATGTTGACGAATCTACATTTCCGTACTGTCTACTGGTTGATACAGCTTGATTGGATGCTAGTTGTTGTCCACCAGATGTTGGCATATCAAAATTTCCGTACTGTCCACTTGTTGATCCAGCTTGATTTGATGCTAGTTGTTGTCCACCAGATTTTGGCATATCGATATATCCGTACTGTCCACTGGTTGATGTGACTCCTTGATCAAATGTCACATCCTGTGTGAGTTGCTGTCCACCAGATGTTGGCAAGTCTACAGTTCCATACTGTCCATTTGTTGATGCAGCTTGATTGGATGCTACTGGCTGTCCACCGGATGTTACCGTATCGAAATGTCCGTACTGTCCAGTGGTTGATGCAGCTTGATTAGACGCTAGTTGTTGTCCACCAGATGTTGGCATATCGACATTTCCGTACTGTCCACTTGTTGATCCAGCTTGATTGGATGCTAGTTGTTGTCCACCAGATGTTGGCATATCGACATTTCCGTACTGTCCACTTGTTGATCCAGCTTGATTGGATGCTAGTTGTTGTCCACCAGATGTTAGCGTATCGAAATGTCCGTACTGTCCATTTGTTGGTGCAGCTTCATTGGATGCTAGTTGTTGTCCACCAGATGTTGGCATATCGATATATCCGTACTGTCCACTGGTTGATTTGACTCCTTGATTAAATATCACATCCTGTGTGAGTTGCTGTCCACCAGATGTTTGCAAGTCTACAGTTCCATACTGTCCATTTGTTGATGCAGCTTGATTGGATGCTAATTGTTGTCCACCAGATGTTGGCATATCGAAATTTCCGTACTGCCCAGTGGTAGATGTGACTCCTTGATCAAATGTCACCTCCTGTGTGTGTTGCTGTCCACCGGATCTTAGCAAGTCTACAGTTCCGTACTGCCCATTGGCTGATGGGACTCCTTGGTTAGATGCCAGTTGCTGTCCACCAGATGCTGACATGTCTACAGTTCCGTACTGCCCATTGGCTGATGGGACTCCTTGGTTAGATGCCAGTTGCTGTCCACCAGATGCTGACATGTCTACAGTTCCGTACTGCCCATTGGCTGATGTGACTCCTTGGTTAGATGCCAGTTGCTGTCCACCAGATGCTGACATGTCTACAGTTCCGTACTGCCCATTGGCTGATGTGACTCCTTGGTTAGATGCCAGTTGCTGTCCACCAGATGCTGACATGTCTACAGTTCCGTACTGTCCACTGGCTGATGTGACTCCTTGGTTAGATGCCAGTTGCTGTCCACCAGATGTTGACATGTCTACAGTTCCGTACTGTCCACTGGCTGATGTGACTCCTTGGTTAGATGCCAGTTGCTGTCCACCAGATGTTGACATGTCTACAGTTCCGTACTGTCCACTGGCTGATGTGACTCCTTGGGTATATGCCCGTTGCTGTTCACCAGGTGTTGACATGTCTAAAGCTGTGTTCTGCCCATTTGTGGATGCTGCTCCGTGATTCGACGCTCCGTCCTGTGTCAGGCGTCGTCCACTAGATGGTGCCACCTGTGTAGTTCCTGACTTTCCAATAAACGCCCTTTGCATCGTGTGTTGTGTGCCTGACAACTGAGTATCAAGTGTTGTTTGACTGTGATTGATCTTCGCAGGTCCCAATGTGAGAACATTTGCTTGTTCTGCACCGAGTGACATGCTCGGAGATCCAACATCTGTCTTGATTTGATTCCGTGTCACCATCCTATCTTGTATTGTATTCTTCCGATCACTTGAAGTTACTCCCTCAATGAATGACGAATGCTTGGATGCTCCCAACGTATCAATGACTTGCATATCCTTAGAACTAATATTCATAATATTTTTACCAGCGGAATCTCCTACAGGCTGTGCATCAAAAGCTCCAATTTTATTATCAAGTATGACATTTACTTGGTGGGACAATTGTGTCTGTGTTTTAGTGTTTGCCGCTGTTGGGTATGCATCACTTCCAGTAAGAGGGCGGGGATCCTGGACTACAGTTGCAGCTGGGCTGATAGTATTGACTGAACCAGCTGTGCCAGAGGTATACTGACTGTACGTTCCTTGTCCTTGATGCGAATATGTGTTCTGTGTTGGTTGATACGTATGTTGGTCATTGACGGAGACACTACCTTGCTTTGGGGGAGAATTTCCCTGCTTAGACTCGTAAATGTTTGGCTTGGAAGATTTTAGCATAGGTTCGTTGTAGCTTTGGCCTACCTGTGAAGTCATAGAGTGGATAACTCCCTGCATCATTGGCCGATGAATACTTTGTTGCTTTGACCCTTGGAAGAAGTTGTTGGTACCAATACCACCACTCTTATCAGTGCTATATTGCGGTTTAGTTGATGTCTGAACGGGTCGTGTTGAAGGCGTTGCTCTCTGAGATTGAACGTTTGACTGAACCAGTAGACTTTGTACAGATCTGTGATTTGGCTGCTGTTGCTTTTGATAACTAGTTGCACGTGGGCTATCCAATTGCGAACCACGTGTCAGTGAAACTGTTTCTATCACATTGGCAATGGTTCGTCGTTGGGCATCGTTATTTGCTTGGCCGCTTCCTTTATCCTGATACAGATTCGATGGACCAGGATTGACATTTGGACCTGGTGGCCTTGTTCCTATAGCTAGGTTTTCCTGGACAGAAATCCCTGCATTAGCGCCAGGAATATACTCCGAGGGTACAGCATTTTTAACATGCTTCATTACTTGTGGGGCTCGACTATTTTGTGAGCTCTCTTTTGAGCTGACAATACCTTCGACTGTCATACTCACAGGGAAGCCATTAACCAAAGATTCTCCAGGAGTTTGCATTCCAACACCAATTGGTTTTACAACAAAACTGACTGGCATATCCAGACTTCCTTTGACGGGCCCACTGGGAATACGAATCTGTCTGTTGAATGCAAATTTGGGTGTCGACAGAAGTGGTGCCGCTAATGTAACTGGAGCGCTGTCATAATTGGCTGACACTGTATTGGATGCTACAGCAATGTTCTGTCTTGGATAATCGAAACTCCCTTTGGCTGTAGCTGTAATCGGGACAGCTGAAAAACAACATATAATAGTAAGGTATAGGAACAGGTATATACATTATATTATATTGCACTTTTGTGTTGGCCCCACCTACCCTGCCAATACAAGACCCTCTATATACATGTGTATATCCAAATGACATTTGTCCGTGACAATTATTTGTAAATATTGATGATTTGTCTGGTAGCAACGGTTCGCCCCCGTAATGTTTCTAGGTTTCCTAGCACCATATGCGTGCTCGTGGGTTTCACCAAGGTGGTAAACGTCTGAGACTTGCATCACATCCACATTAAGCTTAAAAGCCGTGGTATAACTATGATACTGTTAAAAGCGGCGTTTAACAAAACTCACTCTGAGAACTGTACCATCAGGTACGGCTTCATGCCAACATGTACAGCAAATGCATTTCCATTTTCAGCGCCTTTCCATTTCTTGTGATCCACGTGAGAAACTTAACCCTATTTATTTCATACAGTTGCGAAGGGGCTGGAGGTGGGGCATAATGTTGCAAGTGTCACGTTTACAATATTAATTCCTGTTAACTAATGAACTTGTATTTGTTTATACGACGGATACTGCCTTGGTTCACTAAATGTGTAAGTTGAAGCGTCAAAGCCATCGCAAGAGAATACCCAAATTGCATGACGAAAGAGATTAAAGTGGGAGAAAAGGCAAAATAGCATTGACAAGTCTATGAATGGATCAGTGAATATCAGTGATGACACCAGGTGATCGTGAAAGGTAAGCATGTCCTGCCCTTCCGGTAGCAAACGCCACTCACCCAACTGGTATAAAAACATGTGTCCGTTCCCTGGTAAGGGTAAGGATAAATCTGTTAAAGGCATGGTTTGAACCTTTCGACGCAATGGACATATACTGATGCAATGTTTTTTATACAGTTTATAAAGTTCAGTTATGTATCAATTAACACTTCACTGTGGGTTGTTATGAGAGTACTAAAAAATGTTATTGGTCATAAGCTTTAATATTCGGGAAAAGGCAATGTCTCAGTTTTCCCCACATCTTTCCGAGGCAAGTGAGTTAACTGACTATAAAAGTCCAGTTTCCAACCTTGCCGAACTAGGCTGGTATTATGATGTTACATTCTGGCTGGGCTAACGAGTCTATGCATAGTCCAATCAAAATCGCGCCCCGAAATCGAAATCCGGTTTGTTAAATGTCGTGCAGATTTCTGTCGATTGCAGGATTTGCAAAACATGTGCATCGCAAACTCGTTGTCAACAGATATTTTCCAAGTCTTTTCATGTTTTTAATCAAGGTGCTCGCGTGATTTGATGCACCTCGCTATGTAAGACCCGTTTTATCACAATATAGATCTTGATTATCAACCAGATCGTTTTGACTTGGCGGCATCCATTGGTCTGATTGGTCCATAGGAGAGGCTTAGAAGGGACATAATTCGTAATAACCACTGGTGGCGCTATGGTCGAGCCCAGGAATTCCAGCCTAGTTCGGCAAGGGTGGAAACTGGACTTTTATAGTCAGCTAACTCCATTGCCTCGGGAAGATGCTTTCCCCAGTGCGGTTGGAAGAGTTCGTGGTCAACACGTTTGCCCCTCACCCCAAAGGCCTAGGTTGACACCACATATGGCCTTCACACATTGTACCCTCAGGGGAATCGAACCTGGGTCTTCGGTGAGACGAGCGAACGTTTTAACTGCAAGGCTACCCTACCTCCCCCTTCTGCTATAGATAAAACTAGATATCCCACTTGTCAAAGGCAAGACGGACGTTAACCGTTGTCTCACAAAGAACTGGCGAACTAGCGATTGTGGCTACATTAATACTGTCAACCTCATACATGCGTGCAAATAGATCAAAGTTAAAAGGAATGACATGAAACGTCAACCGCCAGAGACGTCAGAAGAATAAAACGACTGCAAAATATAGTTGTCATCCAATGTACATACCAAGTTGTCTGAAGTACATGTTAACCACACAATGTCATTGCTGATGAATTAGAATGGCTCTACCTGACAAATTACCTGTACCTCAAAACACAAGCAATATATTTACATTTTATAACCTACCATGATAGACAGGTGTCATATATAAGACATATTAGCATAAGTTAACGTTGAACATATGAAAATGTTCTGCTGATACAAATCACTTGCAGTATAATATTAATCCCATAGCTGCCACTCGCCAAAGAATCTAGATTAACATCTCAGGTTAAACTCGCGAATGATCCTTGGTATTGAACCTCCATAATTCAGGGTTAGACACAGGCACTAGTCCGTTAGTCCGAGACGAGTGGAAATCTAGACGGACTACTTGTTTCTCCCCAAATCTAGTTAGTTTTCGTTAAACAAAATCATCCGAAATATACTACTAAATGAACTAAGGGACACCCGATTCTTTCATATTACTAAAGTTAATGTCAGTGCAAGGCAGATTAACTATGGTGTAATGAAAGAATCAAGTGGTCCTTAACTTTTTTAAGTTATAAAAGTTGTTGATTACAGTAAACTACGGTTATAACGAACACGCTTATAACGAACTGACGGATATAACGAACTTAATTTTTTGGTCCCGACCATTTGCTGTAGTTATGCTGCATATATGCTTATAACGAACTACGGTTATAACGAACTAAAATTAGTAGTCCCTTTGAGTTCGTTATAACCGTAGTGGCCTATGACCAATACTGTTTACCTACAACGCGTACTTCAGAGAAGTCGTAAACATTAATGTATGAGCAGAG